ATAGGCAAGTCTTTTAAGAAAAATGCACAATGCCTCAACCATGTCGACATTTACACCATTGTAGCAAACGACCCGATCCGGTAAAGTAAACACCTCTGCCAAGTTGTAAATGTCATTCTTGTAAAATCTAAACTCAGTTTTACATTTATCATCGGTCATCTTGTCGAGATCGAAGCACTCGTAGTTAGTGTACGGTAAATCCGGATTTTTAGGCTTGTGTAAATCGTAGAGTAGCACGAATTCTTCAGCGTTAATCAAACGGGAAGCATGAGCCAGGAGAATAGTGTCACGGAACTTTGGCATGGCTTTCTAAAAAACTTTCGTTGACTTAAACATGATAAACATCAATGACCGTCGTCAACGTTCTCGCTCGTAAAATTCGTAATCTCAATTTTGGCGGGAACGCCAACACGACGTGGCCCCGCTCGACCCAGACTTCTCACGTCGCCGTTGTCGGATCGTAAGGTCCCTATTAATTATTTTCGCGACCGGAAGTCGCATAGTGCGACTTTTGTTTACCTTTTTAATCTTATATCTTTTCATGAACTGATGGCGTGATCGCCTAAACAATCGCGCATTGATTCTACGATATGTAGAATTTCACAAATTTTAATCGAGATAGCTCAGAGTAAAAAACAGGGAGTGTTGTAAGGAAGGCTGCGAAACGTGCAATTAAAGTGATGTCAAATTACCAAGCGTGAGTTCTGTTGTCGGCGTGAATCTATTCCCGACATTATTTTCATTTTATGACATATTCGTACCACACTAAATCAAAGTGGAAAGTTCAATTACCAGCTGGATTGTTGAAAAAAAAAAGCATATGTACAGAAATATCAGGATATCAGGCTTGCATATATGAACGTTATAAAGCAGTACAGGCACTTTACACATCCACCAAAGGCTATAAACTTAGCTGTGATGATATGACATTTATAATAATGACTGTCTCTTGCCTCAGAACTAAATACTTACTTCTTCACGGGACGTTTACACACTATAAAATACATATTAGTAAGTTTCTCGATCCGATATTAAAAGGATATAGAGGATTTTAAATACTTGAAGGAGTTGCCTCATAAAGGTCTTTTGCTAAAATTCATTGACTAACTTGTTTCAGACACTCGTCACATTTCATTGTGGGTCTACCATGTATTTACCAACGTGGAAACGTTTGTACATTCAAGGTTTTCCACCGAAGATAGACGAAAACACACGAAGATTTGATATTCTAGGGCCTGACCCTAGCGCAGTTTACGCCGCGCACGCGCTGTAGACAGAAGACGATTTGGGGCTGAACGAGGAAAAAAAATAATATATATAACTCGGGCATTCTGGGTAGACCGAGTAAAAACGGTGCAGACACTCAGATATCTGGCTAAGAGTCACCACTCTCCACCAAGCATTAAAATCTCACCGTTACTAGCCGCCACTAGCAATCTGCTTCAAGCATTGCATGTGTAAAATCTCACATCATTTAATGTTTTAAGCTTCAGTTGATACAAGACCAATACAGATTCATATACCATTTAAACACACAAACTATAAAGTAACTGAATAGAGTGGACATCATTGTAGCCTTGAAGCTTTTAAAAATGATTCAAAAGTATTAAATAGGGCAAAGTTAAATATAATACCTGCCAACAGAAACACTAGAAATGTCTCCTTTTCCACCCTTACCTAGATCTCCATAAAAACTACATTCAGTTTATCCCCCAGCCCTGTCAAAAATACTAAAAGCACAAGATAATGCACGATTACCAGCAATTTAGATCTATTTCGGTGATATATCATTATGCCAACCTTGTAACGCAACTCTTGACACTCTTGCTTAAAAACTTGCTGTCTTATTTGTTAACAGGTCGATTTCAAAATTGATCACTGTCATATGCACACTCGCCAACTTAATCTTTCATTTAAGCTCAAATTCTTCTTCAAATGGATGCAAATGTACTTTATTCTAGGTTATAACATCTATGCAGCAATAGATATACCAGATAAAATGCAAAATATATCGAACTTACCTTTTAACTTAGAAATATTTGTAAGAAAAATCCAACAAAATCGTATTAAATCAATTACCCCCGCCAATAAAGCGCGAAAATAGATTTGAGCGCCTAAGTAGTACTTGTCACTGACAATCTGCATAACGCCATGAGAACGAGGCAAAACACGGGGAGCCACTCGTGTTGACAATAGTGCGCAAATCGTCTTTGTCCGTATACCTTCACTGAGCCGGCTTTATTACTGGGCTGCCTGTGGCAAACCCAGGTGAAAGTTTGATCTCCGTTTTTTTTTCCTTTGTCCTCTGTCGGAAAATGGAAAAGTTACGCAATACGTCTTTCCTGTCACTCCCCTGCTAAGTACTGTCTTGGTCCCAAGAGTCTTTTGCGCGTATCTTTGGTAGGTTTCAGGGGGTAGTAGAAAAGCGTTCATTTTATCCTGTAGAGACAGCGGATTATTTAATAAACCTACAATGGCGGCGAATCAAAGTCCTTGTAAC